CAGTGTTTGATTGTTGTGTCTTGTTGCTTTTCTTCTTTTGTCTCTCCTCTATCCACTCACCCCAACCGGTCGAGGCAGAAGGCCGCCCACCAAGAGCCGGGGTCTGTCGGAGGTTTCTTCCGTTAAAGGGAGTTTTTCCTCCCCACTGTCGCCAAGTGCTTGCTCAAGGGGGATTTGTTGGGTTTTCCCTATGTAATAATATTGATAACAGTAAGGTCTAGACCTTACTTTGTAAAGTGTCCTGAGATGACTTTTGTTGTGATTTGGCGCTATACAAATAAAATTTGATTTGATTTGATCTTCAATGTAACCAGATGGCTTGATTTACATCTACACACAGACCTGTTGGCCTGTTTTGCATCTTCACATAGGCCCGCTTAGCATATTACAAGTTCAGTTTTGTAATGTAATATCTTGCAAAGACAGGGGGCCTACAACCTGAGATGACCGCTTCACCTGTTTAGCATATTCACAAGGTCTGCTTTTGTCCTGTAATAGCCTACACAGATAGGGGGTCTGCAGCGCAGGTTGTCTGCAGGATTCATTGATTAGCTACCGACCTGAAAATCACAATGCTCACACACCTGGCTTGGCTTCCAGCACATGATCAGCAAGTAGGCGTGGGCAGAGGCTGGCCTACTCACGCCAAGAACCTATAGAATGGTGGTACATCAGATTGGGAACCGTTGCTCCATTAAGAACTGAAGACAGGGTCAGATGCACTCAGGGATTTAAATATCTTGGAAACAAATCCAAAATGTCTCTGTCTAACTAAACATGAGAGTGAAATTTAAAACTAACATGTGACTGAGGATTCTGCCCTAAACAATGTTTGTAGACCCACAAGTCTGCTGAATGGCGGCTCTTCTTCAGGAGAACAGCATGAACTCCTAGCCTGGCCTTCATAAAATGCCATGTGCCTTCACCAGTCTGCATTTACTAGTCCCAAATTAAAGACCTACATCTGAATTTGGCCCTTAAGAAAAAAACAAACAAAAAATCCTTTAATGATGCAACTTCACTGATGCCATAACCTCTACTGTAAGTTTGTGGGAAATGTTGAGAAAGAGCTATATTCCCTATAGGAAAAAACTGATGTTTCTGTGAAACGGCAACATTTATTTGAGA